TTCTACTATAGTGAGCCCATAATTCTCAAATGCGACTTGTTTGGCTATGACCGTGTACCCTTGGAAAAGGTAGTTTCCCCGAATTTCGAGAAATCAGGTAATGCTGACATCAATTCTAAATTAAACGGGAGGCAAGCTTGGCAAGCTTGCAATTATTTATTATTTTTCGAAGACAAGGAGGAATATTAGCCATCATGAATTTTCATCATTAAAATGTTGACTCGGTGTTAGTGCCCTCTAATGGCAATTTTCTTGTAATTTTCTGAGGAAAATAGGAAACGAAAAGGTAAAAGCAGCGGGAAATGCCGTTGCGAGTTTTTTAGGAAAGTGCCTTCTGGATGCACGGATCCCACAACGTAACTGTAGTGCAGTCCATTTCCCCCACCTCTCTAGTTAAGCTTCTGCCTAAAATTGTACGTTGTGAGGTTCCTAAAAAGATTTAGATGCCTAGATGAGTCATTTTTACAACAGTAATTGATTTAATTAGAAAACAAACATACAGGCTGTAATTCTTCGAAAAATTCACTAACTAGTTTGAAGGCCCATTTCCAACCTTGTTGCAACGCGGTCGTTTGTTTTTGTTTTGAACCACCGCTTTTGTTTAAATAGCGCCTCTGATTGGTCAGTTATTTTAACCTTGTCACGTCTCAAAATATCTTCTGCGTTTTCTCCGATGAATTTGAAGAGCTTATCAAGATAATTCTGTTTAAAACAGTTCTATACGTTTTAATCCGGCATGAAACCAGGTGAACCATTGATTTAGTAGATTCCGAGGCAGTAAACGCTTATGGATCGGTTGTTGCTAAAGAGGAACGCGAAAATCCTTGCGAGCATTTCGAAGAAGGTTGATCCACCACGTTTTCATTCATTCATCAATTATTTTTAATTTTAGTTTGCCATCCTTATTAAATAGGACCAAGGGTCAGTTGAAGTTTCCTGCCCGTGGAGAGGAACTCGCGCTCGAAAGAGTGGTCGAGGTTGTTGTCCATGCAAAGCAGCAAATAAGAATTGTAACGCAAACTGTCAGTGTCGCTGACGTTCCTGCAATGAAGTGACTAAACTTAAAATAATTAAACGTTCGGCAGTCCGATATTTTTCCATATTTCTCTTCGAAATCCAAAGAGTATTTTATACGAAAATGTTCTAGCTTTATTTGCAATCCTCAAGCGCTTCCAGGCAGCCTAAAAATTTCGAACTTGATGTTTCTCGCTAACCCTGTATTCAGAGTACGAAGCCATCCAAGCGCTTGACACTTAAAAAACTTTTTAATGACACGGCTGGACACGGTCCTCAAATAACTCCATATTTCTCTTTGAAATATACCAATTTTTCGTTGGAAAATATTCTACCTTCATTTACAAGTCTCAAGCGCTTCTAGAAAGTGAAAAAATTCCAACGTTGTCCGTTTCGCTGACCTTGTACACAGAGTGCGAAGAGATCCAAGCGTGACACTAAGAAAATTTTCACCGGACACTACCGGACACGGTCTTCGAATAACTAAACGTCCGGCAGTCTGATATTTTTCCATATTTCTCTTTGAAAAATACCAATTTCTATTGGAAATATTTTATCTTCATTTAGAATCCTCAAGCGCTTCTAGAAAGTGAAAAAATTTGAACGTTGTCCTTTTCGCCGACTCTGTTCACAGAGTACGAAGAGATCCAAGCGTGACACTTAAAAAAAAATTTTTCTTCGGATTCTTCCTAACAAATTTCAAAATACTGTAAGGAAACTGTGAAATAATGAATTGCGAATGTATTTACTGTAAAATAGTTGACTATATGTTCAAGATGGCTCTTGAGAAGACGATTTTAGAAGGTTTTCAGTGATCTGGGGAATTTCGTGTTACAGGAAAGTAGGTCGCGGCGCGAGTTGCATTAAGGTTGGAAATGGGACTTTAAAATTGAACAATTTTCAATTAATAATTTTGATTTTGTTATCGTGGTCCACAGCGGGAAGGCTTTCTTTATCTAAGACATGGCGTACAAAATTAAAAATTTCAACTTTAAATTTGAAAATCATATTTCTGATTAGTTATCTAATAGTTGTTTTAAAACTCATTGGTAATCAGATGTGATCGATAATAGCCATGCATTTCTTATTATCAAACACGCATTAATTATTTTTAATTAAACCTTTAATTTAATTAAACCCCGTTTCGAAAAAAAGCCAAGCTAAAAGGACAGAAACATTAAGAAACAGGGGCCAGGATCTGCTAAAAAATAAATTTTCCCTTGTTTTGTTTTCGCTGAGCGTTGATAAACTTCGAAAACATGAAAGGAACCAAAACGGTCCTAACTCATGCAGGTTTATTTGAAGTTAAATGGATTCTAAGTTACAGCTGGATGTCACAATAAACTTTTACGACAGAAACATCCTACCTATGAATGTTACGCCATAGAGCGTGATGTTGTTTCGCTTCTTAGAGAGACCCAGAGCCATTTCGGCAAGCTATGAGTTTAAGATCTAGAGGTTACATAACTAACAAGAAGTTAATTGGGTAGCTTTTTTTTGGGAGAAGGGAGGATGTACAAGAGAGAAGATATAGTTATAGTACCTATTTAGACATTCCCATTAAGTATCCTGGCGTTTTCTCCCCTTCGACATCAAGTGACGTCACGAGATAACCATTGATGACGTCATAGTTTGGCTTATGTGGTAGAGGATGGGGTGTGATATACTCTCAGAGGAGAAAACTTTTACTACCGAAATGTAAGGGGCAATGCCTCCCCCCCCAACAAAAAGTGTTTGTCTTCTGAAGGGGTACTACAGCTCACCTCTCCCCCTCCCTTTTTTGGTGCTTATGTATCACGAAGGAAAATATTGGAGAATCAAAGCTCCCATTTTTTGAAGAAAAGTGAAAACAATGATATCTTTGGGAAACAATTTAAGTGAACTCCATTTCTGAAGGAAATTACATTTAGCAATCCTCTTACTTTCTAGACCTAACAGAAAATGTTTGAGTTGTTGAGTTATAATTATTATTTTTTTAATTTAAAAAATAACTGTATTTTAAAGAAAGCGACAAAACGTTTGAGTCTGTAAAACATGTACAAAGCGTTGAAAGTTGAAGTCTATAGTAAGTAGAACAATGCTAATTAAGATGAATAGTGACAACATGAAAAGAGGTAAAGCATGAAAGTGTGAGAATTAAAAAGATAGTTTTAGATTTACATGGTGTAATTGTTGATTCAAGGATGATTGTTCTCTTTGAATATGAATAGCCTCTTTTATCTTAAGCTGAAAGCTGGTGGAGGTGTGATCTAAAGCATGGAAGTTATCTGTAGAACACAAGGCGCGACACTGTGGAGAATCTTTCAGATGCCTGAAAATGTGAGAGGCTCTGTCACTGACTTAGTGCTCTCTAACACGTGTGGAAAAATGCAGGCAGAGGTTTCACCGACGTAACAGGCATTATAGCCAGTGCATACAAACTTATAAACTACACGTGAACGGCGCCCGTCAGGGACAGGGTCTTTCACACCAAACGAGTTACCGATTTTGAAGGAAGAGAAAAGCAGTTTGATATCCAAGTCATTGCAATAGCGCTTAATAAAATGGCAGATCTTTTTTTGAGTGATAGCAGAGAAGTGGCCTATGTAGGGTAGCTTAAAGTAGAATGTAGGTAAAGTGGTAGGAAGGGAATCCCGGGGAGGATGATTGTTTTGGGTCCCAGTGATGTAACGGTTTATAATCTCGATTAAATGAGCAAGGAAAAGATTCTCTGTTAGAATATCAGTAAGATTGTTAATGTCCTCGTGAAACCCTAACCAGGTGTTATTAATCTTGTAAGCCCTATCAACGAGTGTCTTAATGAGACCCACTTTGTAAGAGTACGAGGTGAAGCTGAAATAATTAGTTAGTAACCCAGTGAAAGTTTTCTTGCGGTAAACCCTTGTTAGAGGGGAACTGGGGTCATTGTTGTCAATCAGGACATCAAAAAAGGGTAATTTGTAATTAATCTGCTTTTCCATAGTGAACTTGATGTTAGGGTGCCTAGAGTTGATATAGTCGAAAAATATAGTGGCATCTCGATCTGGGTTAAATAAGCAAAAAGTATCATCAACATACTGGCGATAAAATAAAATTGTAGAGCCATGAAAATTTTCCAACCAAAGTTTTTCGTGATGTCCCATAAAAAGATTGGCTAAGACAGGAGCAAGGGGAGACCCCATGGCTACGCCATTTATTTGATCATAAAAAGAACCGTTAAATATGAAATGAGTCTGGGCGGTAGCTGTAGTGAAGAGACTTCTAAGTTCAGATTTGTTTAACTTAATGTCGGGATTACCCTCGGAAATGTAATTGACCGCTAAGTCAATACACTCCTCAAGAGGTATGTTAGTAAAGAGACTTTCAACATCAAAAGACACCATAAACTTACGAGATATAGATAACGATTGGATATCTTGTACAAAAGTAAAATTGTCAGTGACACAGTAATCAGTTGGAATGTGAGGTGAGATGCCAGGTTGTAATTGTATGTTCCTAAAGAAGATACAATGGAGCGAAATGGCGGTGTAGAGTTAGCTTGACGATCCTTATGCATTTTTGGGGGGCCGTAAATTCTTGCTGGAAGAGGGGAGTGGTGAAGACCAAATTTTTATTTGAGAGTGGTTTAGGACAGAATCTTAACACATTACGAGGGTTGTCTCGTTATGAGTTGAAATTGAAAACACAGGTAGATGCTCAGCCAGAGAGCGTGAAGGTTACAACCTTTTACTAGACATTTACAGCTCTCAAAAAGTCAGGCATTGATATCCCAAGAACCCATCTTTAATAAATGTTAAAATTCTGAGCCGCTTACAGAATAAAACTTAGACGATTTATGTGAGGTTTTCAGCGCACAAAAATGTTTCCATATGGGTTTGGCACGTTTCTCAACTGGTTTGGTCGATTTGTACATCATGGATCATGAGTTGGTGAGTTCATCCTTGTGTCTCCATCAAAGTAGTAATAAGTACTTCCAGCAGTTAGGATAGGTCCGCGACTGGGAAGACTCATAGATTTTGGTACCGTTCAAATGCACTGTTAGAAACCTGCTTCACCAGTTTACAAGAAAGTGACCCCTTCTTCTGTTTCACTATGCTACCAGAACCTTCCTTGCATGCGATCCAGTTTTTGATGTTGCTCTTGATCAGGAATTCCTTGCCAATGCTGCGCCACAAAGAAAAGTCCATGGCCTCATACTGCGTCTCGCTCAGTGGAACTGTTTTGGACACTCGAACGTTAGCGTCGCTAGCTGACCAAGATGGGCGCGGGGTGACAGCGTTTCGGCCGGTCCAGAAGCTTGAGTAGGCAGTGAAAGTGTAACTGTAAAGTAATGTCCAGCCCCCTCCATCTGTTTGCTGGTCGCAGTAGACCTGGAAAGCGTTACTAAGGGAACCGCCATCAGGATCTATCCAATAAACGCCTGACACGGCGTAAGGGGACTTCTCTTTGCGCACCTTGCAGTTCAGCACTGTTAAGTCTATGGAAAATCCTATGAAGTCTATAAAAACAAGATAGAAATGTAACCAGAGGGCATTCCTATCAAATCTGCTCATAAATGATTTTCTGATTGTATATATATCACTGAACGCTGGTAAATTTTGGGCGAAAGATATAATTACGTATTTACATTCCACTGACCGATTCTTGCTAATCAAAGAAAAATTAAAGCGTGAGTTCTTTCAGAGTTTTTTTTAGCAATTCCATAAATGCAGAAATATTGCAACAGTTACAATGATAAATTATTTCAAAATTCGATTTAGTTTATTGGGATCTTGGAGAGATGATTATGCTTATAATGGTCGAAAAACAAGAGATAAAAAACAAACCCAACAGAATATTGAACAACACTGTTCGTTTTCTCTGATCCAACACTAGGCCGGCGGTGAGGAAACTTGTTTTAACTTTGCAATACTCTTGGTGCAACCTCAGTGAATAACACAGTTGTAACATTGACTCAGTTGTAATCGAGCCAGGATACATGATTTATCAGATCACGAGACAAAACTCGTAGCATTGTATTATATAACCATCACTTCAATATTTGTGCAACCTCGACGCATTAAAACAAGCAGTACGCAAACATTTTTAACTTGTTTGGTTCAGAAGAGGGTCCCTGAGGGGTGATGGGTGACTTTAGACATTACAAAGTCCGGTTGATTTCTTCTAATAAGATGTTCGAAAGTATAGAAATACAAAAACATCTTGTTAATTTCCTCCGCCGCAGTGACTTAAAATTTTTAGTGATTTTGCTACCGTGACAGATGAATTATACAAATTAGTCTGTTGAGCAAACTCTGACCGTTCTAGATCAATTGCTCCCTATAGTTTGATCCTGAAATGCTCATACAGGTTTAAATAGCTCAAGCTCTCCAAACTCAAATAGGAAAGAACACAAACCATTTTCTTTAAAAAAGAGTTGCTCGTTAAAACGCTGACCGATCACTAATCAGTACGATAGTCGATACGTTTTGTTCGTCTCTTGTTTCACATATCACAAGAGGCAAGTGATCAGTTGAAACTTGAAGTATTGACGAGCTTGCATGACATTCCTGCCATCCGGCAGCGATTTTAAACTTCTGTCTTCATAGATTACTTTTGATCAGGATATATTTTGAAAGAGCAGTGGTTGACAAGGATCTTTTAAGATGCTACATCAAATTTATTCCTCCAATATTGAAGGTTTTGTTAACTAAACCTTACAAAAGGCTTTGAAAAAAAAATGAAACCAGATTCCAGTGGTTCGTTTTATATCTAAACTACTGTTTTAACTTTACTGATTTCGCTTAACTTTAAAGCCTTACTTACGTCTACATTTTTTTGTGCTTATTATATTGGAAATATAATTTTGCGTTAAAAACAAAAAAATTCTTGAGCACGTAACCAATCCTTCTTAGAATATTGTTAGAAGTAATTTCCTAACACACGTTGTTCAGTTGAAGGTCTCTTTATTCTTCTCTTTCTTACATACAACTTATTACCTCGGGACTAACTCAGATCTAACAAGGAAAGTATGGGTCTCCGCTTATTAAAGGGACGCTAACTGAGCTGTCAGTCTCTAACCTTCGTCATCCCTTTACACTTAACTAGCGAATCACGTTAAGCTACGAAGAGCGGAGTTCGCATACTAAGTAGATACCTTCGAGATGTTTACGGTTTAAAAAATCCTTAAATTTCTTAGTGTTACAGTCAAGGTTGGTCATAACTAAAACAAGATTGATAATATAAAAATTGTAATGGAATAACCAACAGAATTAGAATCATACTTGAAAATATATCTTAAGAGGAAATACTCCTCGAAGACTGTTATATAACAGCACAATAAACAGAAAATTCGGACAAGAAAGGGGGTACCCGAGGTAATGCCCCTAAAAGAGCTACGTGCTATTCGTATAAATTACCTGACTAAAATTCAGTGCGGAGGATGAAAAGTACCACTTGTTTACACCTTAAGTCACCCCTATGAAAAAGAGGTGTCAAGCGTGCTAAATTATACCTGTAAGATAAGACCGCCAAAAGGAATAAGAAATGATCAACTGGCTTATTATAATTTTTACTGAATGGCTTATGCTAATATACTATTTCCATTCATTTCCAACGTTTAAATAAGTAAAAAAAAAACACTGGATAGATACAAATTTTGTCTTTTAACAATATTGAAAAAGAAAGCACAAAAAATTGAACTAGATCTAATTTGGGATAGCTCCTTTTTTAATTTCAATGAAATACCAGATAAAGTATGTTCTCTACTTTGCTCTATTCAATTTATGCATCTAAAAGTCTTTTGGCTCTGTTTCCTTCGAGTGATTCTCATTATTTACTCTGTCGGGGTCTCTTTCTCTGTAAAAAAAAAGAGAAAAAAAAACAGCAATTTATTATTAACTCGATTAATATTTTGGATATGAAGCAAATACAATTATACCAAGCTTAATATCTAAAAATATAAATGGCTAGCACTTGTATGTGATTGGCAGAGAGGCCCTTTCGAGATTCTATATTTACACCAGAGAGCGTCGATAGTAACTCTCCGAAAAGAAAAGAAAAAAAATATATGTATATGGATATATACCGAACTACCCTTGATGGTAACAAAGGACCCCCGCCGACAGTCACCGACCAGTAAATCACAGCTACCTTCACATCTACTTAGACTTTAATTTGTGAAATATCTTTTCGGACTGAGTCTTACCTCTGCTTGTCAAACCCGAGTCTCACATCATCTCCAATCAGCGTAAACGAAGCCCACTCAGACACACTGGTAGACTTGCTTTTTCTCATCCACTTCATGGCCTGATGGAGGGATTCACTGGCACTTTCTCCCTCTACAAGGTGTTCGTAGAACCGACTCATCAGCTGCTCTGTTCCTGAGTCTGAAATGGCCCACAGCGCAACCAACACCGAGCGAGCACCGGATCCTAAGAACGCACGGGCAATTCCTATGACTCCCTCGGCTCTAATGTGACCTCTTCCACTGTGACAGCAGCTAAGTACCACCAGTTTAGCTCTGACTTTCACTCGTGATACATCAGCCATCGTCAACATGTAATCTTCATGTGGTAAGATAGCGTTTCGCCTGTTGGAAGTACTAGGGATGGGGAGAGGGCAATTTCTCCCCTTTCGGCGTCACCATGGGCAGCAAAATGAATCAGGCTCACTGAACTTATCCGCTCAAGCACCGCCTGCTTCGTTGCTTCTTCTCCTACCAGAGGCAGAACACCCACCAGTCGTCCGACCATCTCCGCTTCCTTTCTTGCACTTGGCAATGGTGGCAGCCAATTAACCTTAGGGTTGCCTATTATCAAGGCACCAGTGTTGCTGTGATAGTCCTCTGGGCTATCTTGAATAATCTTGAGTGTTGTCAAAGAAGGAATGACACGGATTCTATGAGTCTCCGAGAGGTATTGGGCTCCCTCCTCTTCACTCAGTGCAGCAAAGGGAACTTTGTACAAAATGCGATCAGGAACGATGATGACTTCAGGCTCCTCAAGCAAATCATAAACGGGAGCAATAAACATTTTGTAACACAAAGATAGACTTGAAATCACTTTCTCGTCCTCATCCTCGTCCTCGTCCTCCTCGACGAGTCGCAATCTTGCTGAGCTCTTCTGTGTGGGGGGAGAGAGGTTGCAATTTAACCATATTTAAAGACCGATCTTCACAATCTTTAGTGGGCAAAATACCAAGACTCCGGAAATTACCATCCAAAAATTGACTCAAACGCAAATCTTTGGGCAACCCAGCCTGAACTAGATTCTCTTCTACTGATATTCTTCTATAGTGAACGACTCCACTTTTCTTTAAGATCCACAAACGCAGATCACTGTCAAAATACGAAATGTACAGACAACTACAGTTATTTTTCTTTTTAAAAATGTTCTCAACGCCAAACCAAGATTGCGGATTAGCAGAGATGTGCGTTCCAACCGAGTACTTCTCTACCATTAAGTCTGATAGGCCTCTAGCTCGACCCAACTCCTCAACATAAAGAGCATCCCGAGCATTTCCGGTGTCACAAAGCAAACTACAAAGCAGCTTGTAGGGAAATATTCCTGAGTGCTCCAGAAATGATGTTTTGAACTGATCATTGGCGCCTAAGAAATATCTCAGCTCCTCATACTTTTCAATGCAGAGATAAAGACACGAACGGGATTCTTCTTTTTTATCTTGCGACAAATACAAAATGGCGTAATGTCGAAGGATTTCGAACTCTCCTCTTCTATCTCCAATATCTCTGGACATCGATAAAGCTTTCTCTAAGCATACTTCTGAGGCTTCATAATCTCCTATAGCTCCACACACACATCCAAAGTTTGCAAGATCTTTTACTTTCCCTTCTTTATCACCAATTTCAGTTCTGATGACGAGTGCTTTTGGAGATACTCTTTAGCCTTGTCGTATTGCCCGAGCGACTGAAACATATTACCTAGGTTTCCATAACATGATGCTTTCCCTTTTCTGTCGCCAATTTCAGTTCTGATGACAAGCGCCTTTTGGAGATACTCTCTAGCCTTGGCGTATTCTCCGAGGAAGTGAAACACAGCACTTAGGTTTCCATAGCATGTTGCTTTCCCTTTTCTGTCGCCAATTTCAGTTTTGATGACAAGCGCCTTTTGGAGATACTCTTTACCCTTGTCGTATTGGCCGAGCGACATAAACACAGTACCAAGGTTACTGTAGTCAGTTGCCTCTCCTTTTCTGTCACCAATTTCAGTTCTGATGACAAGCGCCTTTTGGAAATACTCTCTAGCCTTGGCGTATTGTCCAAGCGACTGAAACACAGTACCTAGGTTTCCATAACATGATGCTTTCCCATTTCTGTCGCCAATTTCAGTTTTGATGACAAGCGCTCTTTGGAGATACTCTTCAGCTTTGTCGTATTGCCCGAGCGACTGAAACAAATTACCAAGATTTCCGTAGTCACTTGCCTCTCCTTCTCTGTCACCAATTTCAGTTCTGATGACAAGCGCCTTTTGGAGATACTCTCTAGCCTTGGTGTATTGTCCGAGCGACTGAAACACAGTACCTAGGTTTCCATAACATGATGCTTTCCCTTTTCTGTCGCCAATTTCAGTTCTGATGACAAGCGCTCTTTGGAGATACTCTTCAGCTTTGTCGTATTGCCCGAGCGACTGAAACAAATAACCAAGATTTCCGTAGTCAGTTGCCTCTCCTTTTCTGTCACCAATTTCAGTTCTGATGACAAGCGCCTTTTGGAGATACTCTTGAGCCTTGTCGTATTGGCCGAGCGACATAAACACAATACCAAGGTTACTGTAGTCAGTTGCCTCTCCTTTTCTGTCACCAATTTCAGTTCTGATGACAAGCGCCTTTTGGAGATACTCTCTAGCCTTGGCGTATTGTCCGAGCGACTGAAACACAGTACCTAGGCTTCCATAACATGCTCCTTTCCCATTTCTGTCGCCAATTTCAGTTTTGATGACAAGCGCTCTTTGGAGATACTCTTCAGCTTTATTGTATTGCCCGAGCGACTGAAACAAGTTACCAAGATTTCCGTAGTCACTTGCCTCTCCTTCTCTGTCACCAATTTCAGTTCTGATGACAAGCGCCTTTTGGAGATACTCTCTAGCCTTGGTGTATTGTCCGAGCGACTGAAACACAGTACCTAGGTTTCCATAACATGATGCTTTCCCTTTTCTGTCGCCAATTTCAGTTCTGATGACAAGCGCTCTTTGGAGATACTCTTCAGCTTTATTGTATTGCCCGAGCGACTCAAACAAATTACCAAGATTTCCGTAGTCAGTTGCCTCTCCTTCTCTGTCACCAATTTCAGTTCTGATCAGTTCTGATGACCAAGGTTACCGTAAGCCTCTCCTTCTCTGCCAATTTCAGTTTGATGAGATACTCTCTAGCCTTGGCGTATTGTCCGAGCGACAAAAACACAGTACCTAGGTTTCCATAAGATGATGCTTCTCCTCTTCTGTCGCCAATTTCGGTAGCTATAGCAAGGGCCCTCTCAAAATATTCCTTCGCCTTTAGGTTTTCGCCAAGTGTTTTAAGCATAATTCCAGACTTTGTGTATAAGATAAACAGCATCTTGCTGAAAACAACTATAAAGATGTCTTTGCTGTTTTGATCGGTGCTATTTAGCAAAATCAAACATTCCCTGCATATCTCAATGGCTTTCTGAATGCAATTTGAGTTGCACAAGAACAGGGAAACAAGTAAGGCGATGGTCATGAAAGCTATCATGGCTTCTGCTATTAGGTTTCCATTGCCATCCTCTCCTGTAATCAGGGAAACATTTCTTTCAGTAACGCAATACAAAGTTATTCGATAATCTGGATTCATAATGAGTCACTACAAACCGGAACACACATGTTAAGTTACAAAAGCAAGCTTGGTCGATTTCACCTTGAAACTTATTGTAACGAGCTGAAAGTGTTAGAATTCACCATATCGGCTTTAAAACAAAATTGAAGAAGGGTGTGGATAAGTACAACTGGAACACATCAACGGATCACATTCGGTGAAACTTTTAAAATTTTATTTGACCTGCACAGATTCTTTGAAGCAGACTGTATGACTGTCACTCTATGAAAGTCATCTGTTATCCAAATGATTTTTGATCCAGCTGTTTCGTTTATTCTTCTTATCAAGTAAAAAAAAAAAATGACGCATGCTTGAGTTTGATTAACGATCGTAAGTCGTGGGGTCGCGCCATCAATTAGGTGGTTTTGAAAGGTTGCAGGTTTCTTAAAAAACAAGAAGGATTGATACCTTTTACTACAACGTTCTGGGAACATTTGAAAATGTTGTTCTAGCAGTTTATCACCGGTTAACGAACTTACTTATCTGAGGTATATGGCTGAAAACGAATCTATTCGTAACTGATAAGGATGATTGCCAGGATTTGAGGTAACAGTGGTTTGACAAACTCGGTTTGTCACCCTTCATTTTACTTCAGTTGTGATTTTTGCACAACATGACATGACTCTAAAGTCACAGGATAAAGATAAACAAAACAGCATTTATCTTAACTTTTGCTGTGAGAACTTTCCCCTTGCATAGTTTCTATAAACAACATTAATCAACCAAGTTTGAAAAAAAAAGTGGGATGACAATATAATTTGGCTTTACCAACTGAGTTGCAATTAAATTGATGAGTTTCTGAAGCTGACGTTTCGAACGTTAGCCCTTCATCAGAGCATTTGATAATCTTGGGGAATCAATGATGTTGTACTACCAGTATTCTGCAAAGAAACTAGCAAAGAATTTCTCCAAAAGTACACCGATTCTAGAACCGAAACTACCCACCGAGCTGGTTATCCTCACACCCGTCATTTGTCATGAACATATACGTTGTCACGACCAAAATGTCCATTTCTCGTCTTCTTTGGGGCGACCGATGGAAACTTCATGGAGAAATACAGCGTCACGCCATCGTGATAAGGTGTTTATGACAACTGACCGGTGTGAGGATAGTTTCGTGTAGATCAACCGACTTCAACATGTTTCAAATAACATACAAGTATAACAGTGTATCTTCAGAGAATTTCAGATTGCTCAAATTCCCATGGAAGAAGGTGCAGGTGAATGATATGTACACGATTTGAAGTTTATGTTTGTAGTTACGTCGAGTTGTCCTCCACGAAGGTTAGTCAATTTTTTTAAAAGATGACAAACAGAGGCGAGATTTCTCTTCGGGATATTGCTCATAAGATAACATTCTTTCAAAGCCTCGCACCTTTCATTTGTCTGAAACGTTTGTTGTTGAGAACATTAGGTGTAAACATCGCCAAATTATGCAATATCTGATTTTTGAGCTTTTTTTGCGAATTGCCCCTATAAAAAGTGGAGTCAGACCCGCAGAGATTTTTACATATTTAAAAACAAGAATATTATAACCAGCTAGGTGGTTAGTTTCGGTTCCAGAATCGGTGTACTTTTGAAGAAATTCAGATGAAAGTTTTCCCTGTTTTACCCGACAACAAAAATGACCGAAACTGTACCGAGATGAATAATCTATTGGTGTGTTCACATTCACTCCCAGGGAAAATTGAATGAATCAATGTGAAGACAAATGATGTTACTATGTATGGTAGAAGTGCCAATTTTTAATGTTTTATTTAGCTTAAGATATAGAAATAAACATTTCACTTTTTTCTTGCGACGTTTTTGTATGAAAATCAGGCCCCAGGCCTCGAACAAGAAGTCGTTGTTACTATAGCAACAAGAGTGCTGCGGCCTTTAAAAAGGGCATTTTTGTGCATCCCCCCTGAGTGCCTAACTGCATGTAAAATTTGAAGGGGGGTTGAAAATTTTCATTTCCCAAGATGTTTGATTCTTACAGAGACTTGATCTTAAGCGTTTCAATTCTTAGGCTAACAGGAGACAGAACCTTTAACCGCAACTGTCTGGAAGATTTCTTGACTTTCCGCTATATGGCATGAAACACTTGAAAATATTGTTGTAGCAAGATATTACCAAGTAACGAGCTTACTTATCAGATGAATGTCACTGAAAACGAATCTATCCTTAGCTGATAAGAATGATGAACAAGCTGTGGGGTCACAGAGGTTTGACGAACTCCGGCTTTGTGACGAATTTATTTCATCCGGTGGCGATTTTTGCACAACATAACATGACTTAATAGTCACAGGACAGGACAGGACTTAAAAAAAAAAAAATGAATTTGCGATAGAGAAGTTACTTATTTCATATGTGACCGTAAAGTTAAAACTAAAGTTAAGACAAAGTTACTTTAAAAAAAAAGTACACTGATAAAATTATTGACCGATAAAATTGACCTCGCAGCTGACACTTTTGAAAGTGAAACGACAAAAACAATGAAAATCAGATAACAATTTTTCCTACATTCCTAAACTTCCCTCAGTAATGAGGCCAACCTATACCATGATTTTTAAGTGTTTTGTTCCACGGAAGAGATGAACAACTTTCAATACATCTTGATTAATGTAAGAACCACACGATACGATTCTACACGTTTTTGATCTTTTAGAATATCAAATATCATTGATGAATAAAGTTGATTTTTCTTGTCAGTAAAGGGTTTATCGAGTTTATATGAGAAACAAAATAATACATGGTTGTTTGTGGATATGAAATTTCTCTTCTCGTGTTCAAATCGACATCTCACCCATTCGCTGCGCTCACTCGTGAGCTACGTAGTTAAACACTCGAAGAGAAATTCCATATCCACGCGCGCCCACGCATTATTCTCTATGTAATCCTCTTTTTCCCACTTTTATGCAGGTATACACCATGAGTTTGTTAAATAGCACCAGAAAAATCTCTAGATTTTTAACCAAAGTTGTTTGGGTTTATTGTATATTTCTATTTATTGTATTATTGTTATCTGATCAATAACACTATGACAAGATTATAGTAAATCAGTCAAGTAACGTTCTGTTCCTCACCGGAAATACACTGTTTTTCTTCGTGAGCTCTCAGCGTTATAGGCTGACTTATCTTCTTACGGAAGACTTTGGTGCTTTAACAAAAAGTGGACGAGGTCAAATTTATTACCTATGCAAATTACGGCCACTGGAAAACTACGAACTCTTACATCGCGATTATCCTATAACATCAGCAATGAAATAAATATATTTGCCTAATTACGTAATTGGGAAAACAATCAGTTTCTGCAATTACGATTATTCACAACGTGATATGCAAACATAAAAATCGGAAAAGCATTCATAAGGCTTTCCTATCAGAGCTTACTTCACTAAATACTTTTAGATAACAAAACCCGAGTACCTAAGTTTTCCAAACATTCCGAAACTTGCGCTTTCACAATTTTTAGGGTATCCCCATGTTTTGGTTATTCAGATCACTTCTGTTTGGGGTATCCACTCTTGTCTATAACTTTGAAATTGAAACGGTCAAAATAATAGGGACCTTAAGCAAACCACGACGGGGACGGCAACGAGGACATGGAAAAGCAAAAGATCTAATTGGCGGAACAATAGCTCAGCACGCACATTTTAAAACTTTTTACATTTCTTAGCCGTCCTATGCAAAACAACAACGTGAATTCACCACGATTTGCGTCGTCTGCGAACCGAAACCGCGACGGCAAATTATTTTAATTTGCATTTGGAACTCAACGCTTCTTTTATATGTTATGCTGAAGTTGAGGTGTGGTGCCGTATGAGACGGCAAACAAATGCAGCCATTTTTAAAATTCTAATTAAAGGCAGAAATTAATTTTTAAATCGAAGTCTTCCTTGCATTAACTGCTTTATTTTTCTCCAATCATTCTGTACAATTGTAATCGGACAGTGTAATCGGACAGGTGGCTGTAATCGGACACCTACAATCGGACAGTTGCAATTGAAGAAGCATCATACTAAGTCCGCTCAGCTAAATCCACCAATCACAGAATTGATCACAAAAGCCATAGTAACAACCACTTATCCTGAAAAAAGAAAACTGGGGAATTTCAAAAATGGAGTAATTTTGGAGATGTTTGTCCAAAATGTAATTGTTGTTTGCGGAAATTTTTAATCACTCGTATGGTTACCGACCGAATTAGATTCCACTTGGCCCTACTACCATGATCATCAGTCATAAAGTTGCAATTTCTTCGATTGTAATTGGTTTAAAAAATTCCCATTATCCACTGATTCACTTGCCAAGTTGTTATCGGACAGTTTGCTATCCAATAAGTTTGTTATCGAACAGTTCAATACGTGAATCACATTCAAAGTTGTAGTTTAAATCAACCAATTAGACAATTAAACAATTTACGCCACCTTTGTTAGTCTTTTAATACAATTTTCTTTCTTTTCTCTCGTAACCTGGCTGCTTTTTTTTCTCGGAAATTGTAATTTTTATTTTTTTAATTGTAAAGAAGACTTTATCCAATTCAGTCTGCAATCATACACGTGTTAAACAAATCGGACTTCCGCTGTTCGGTCGTCCGACTTTTTCATCACTCGTATGATTACAGACTCCACTCAGTCCTATTATCAGTACATATATGATCACAGTGAATTCAAGGAAGTTACTTTGTTGTTGTAGCTGATGAAAAACCGGGTACTTCTCGTTATGTTAGTGGTTGGTCTTAGCGAGAAGCCAAATTCATTTCTTCCGCTAGAGCACAAAGCAGGAGGAGAAGATAAACCAGTCGCGGTCAGATGTAGTTTAGAATGTACTGTATTATGTCCTGCTGGGGACCAAAAGGATGGCCCAAATTCTTCAGCAAATTTCACACGTACCGTAGA